AGCCTGGATATGTCACTGGCTGTCCCACAAGGGAGCCCCAGGGGAAGAGTTGGGCACGCTCAGGGTAGGCTTCTGAGCTGGGCCCTGGGCAGGGCCATGCCGTGGGCTCACAAGGAAAACCAAGGTGGTGTTGCAGGCCTGCTGGCCCACAGCCTGCTGAGACAACTCTGTGCTCTAAGCATGGCCTGCTCCACACCGAGGAGCTGCAACCTACTGCAGGCACCAGAGACCAACAGACATGGGGGCTTTGTTCCTCCCACAGGTCTGCAGGGCTTCTGGGGAAGCAGGGGCTGGAAGAGGATGCTCCTGCATTAGCCATCCTCTAGCACACCTCAGAACATAAGGACAGGTCCTGCAGGGGCTAATGCCACTCTAAAAATGTGTCATGCATGATACATGACAGCAAACATACTGCTCCTGGACTGCTCCCTGCCTTCAGCAGCCACCATTTGTCCAGGCAGTTGGAAACTACTCTTTTAAGATAGATCGAAAAACCCTACGGGAACAGTTCCAAGGGTAGGCGCACAGCTGATGTCAGCAGGCTGTGTTCAACAACAAAACCCCGTTTTTTGTAGGAAGCCAAAGCATGGCACAGCGCTTTGAACGGAGGTTACCTTTATGATTCATGGCATGAATGAGCACTCGCTCGAGCGCCCTACGAGTCAGGAAATGGCTCCCTCAGGAAGTGAGTCTGAGGCCGGCTGTATTTACAGAGACGTTTGTGGACTTAATCTAGGGCAGATGGTGGGGGAAGGGAAGAATCCCTTTCACTATGGATGGATGCACAGCTCCGTGCATTTCTATACACAAATACTAACAAAAGAAGAAAGGATCCAGAAACACAAAGCCGTAGAATCATTAAGGTTGGAAAAGACCACTAAGATCATCTAGTCCAGCCCAACCCCACCATGCCCACTAACTGTGCCTCTCAGTGCCACATCTCTACAGTTCTCAAACACCAACAGGGACGGTGACTCCATCTCCCTGGGCAGCCTCTATAGCTTTCTGCTTACAAGCTTTACTTGGTGCATGCATGCAGCCACTTAGTCTTGCCCAGCTTAATGCTTAATCCTTCTCCCTACCCCCAGGAAGATGAAAGTGCTCACCTGCACCCTCCAGGAAGCCATCATAAGGCAGTAACTCTGCGCATCTCTGTTCCAGGCCTGCTTTGCCCCCTGGCAGGCTCCATCTGGGTCCAGGTGGGGATTGAGGTCAGCTCCATGCTGCAGGTGACTCCTCCATAGCATGGGTGCTGTGCCCTGGAGCTGAGTGCATCACGTTGACTACACAGACATTGGGTTTATTACTACAATGGGACAGAGACCATAGGATTTCAAAGAATTCCAGTATGGGAAGTGGTGTGGTTGTGTAGCCATCATGCAGCAACACTGAAAAAAGATTTCTCGTTCTTCCTTCTAAGTTAATTCATTTACCTGGTCACTCATTTCTGTATTAAAAGGCATGCTGAGCAAGTCCTGGTCCAACACCTGGACCAGCTCCCCAGTGTTAAGCTGCGAGCTGCCTTCCCTGGGCAGAAGGACTGAAGAAGGGCAGTAGCTAAAGGACCACAGCAAGAGCCTTCTGGAGCAACTGCCCTCTGCCACACAGTGCACCATAGCAAACGACCCACCTTGCCCACTTTGCTACTTTCTGTGTCTCTGTTACTAACCTCAGCATTCAGACTACCAGTAAAGCACATCCTTTAGCGTTAGTCCCTATCACATTAAACTCCTGAGGTTTATGCAGTTCCTATATTCATAGTATAAACAAGTATAAACATAGTTTTCCAGACCTTCACTGTCTTTACAGTGGGCAGAGACCTGAACGTTGGGATACTGTTTGTGTGTAGCTCAGTCTGCTGCATGGCTGCTCCTGGGAAGATACTAACAAGTTGCCCAGGGGCAGCCTCCCTCTTTATAGACCCAAAAAAACAAAACACCCACCAAAATTTTGTCAGCCTGTGCCCCCAAGACACCTCACCATCTATCAAGATCATCCCTCGGTATCTGGGTCTCACGATGGGGCATCACACCCAGCTCACCTGCTGCAGCTGGAGACGCTTCAGATACCCCCCTTGCTTCGGGTGTCGGCAGAAAAAAGGTCTGCAGAAATCAAAAGAGCCTGGTGGCTTGGCCTGGAGCAGGCACTATAAAGAAAATCCATTTTCAGGGGAAGAAAACTGATAACCACCTGTGAGACATCCCGACCCCACCTTTGATTTCTCCAGCTTTCAAGCCCAATGCAACAGCTACCAGTAACACCGGGTGAAAATGTGGTAGTAAAAGCAGCATTCTAGTGGAATCCATAACATCAAGATAGCAAGATGAAAGTCCAGATTAGGCACTGGTCTTCAACAAAATGACCAACAATAAACTTCACCGACATGGAATGGGAGAAAACAATGCAACTGCATCAATACGCCAACATGGCTTTCAGAGAGGCCTTGAGAGAGCAGTCAGCTCCTGACACATCAATACACAGTCAAGAAACACTAGAATCAGCTGATTGCCCAGATGCACAAGGACAGGATGTTGTTACACAAGACTTTTTTTTTTTTCTGCTAAGAGATATCTCCTCTTCTGCTTTGTAGTTATGATATTGCTATCAAAGGTTTTCCTTGTAAACAAGCAGCTTTTGTACCTGTCAAAAACACTACACAGAGCTGTTGACCCAGGCAGCTGCCAGGCCATCCAGGTGCAAAAGTTGATCCTGCTCTGAGATGCTACATTCAGAAAGATTCAGAAAGGCCCAGTGGGAAAGTACGTAGGCTCCTCTGGCAAGCCTGAAGAACTGAAATGCTCTCTGCTAACAGCAGATTATTATATTAAAACTGGCTTTACAAGGAGCTCGTAGTTTATAGGAAGGTATGGAAATAACAGTAACGAATTAGAAAAGAAAAAAAAAGAAAAGTACTCGTACAATTTTTTGTGCCACGGCTAATAAACAGCTGCAGCAAGCCATTTCTCCAGCTCTAAAGCACCACTCCTGCTGTCTCAATCTTGCTTTCTCACACTGAAGAATTCTAACTCTCTTCAGTAGTGACAGCTACAAGGAAGGTTTCAAATTACTGATGATAAGTTCATACTGGGGGCCTTCTGCAGTCAGAGCATTGAGCCAACTTCTTTCAGTAAACACTTGTGTCAAAATAGTGTGATATTATTCAAGGCTGCAAGGTTTTCCACTTCCATGGGCTAGCAGGATTAGTCAGCTAACAACATATTTCTGGCAAAATGAGAGGCTGCATTATCCACATTTACTCAGAGAAAAAAAGAAACTACATATAGGAATTTCCATCCCAGACCAAAGGCTGAATTGGATAACCAGATCATCTCCACAAACTGCAGAGCTTAAAGATCATGTTTTTAACAGGCAGCATTGCAACCCATCCCTAGTAAATTTGCTGACAGTGTGACTGAGGGTGCTAAGATAAGGACAGTTTCCTCATTTACACAGGCTCCAGTTACCAAGTCGAAAGGCTTAGGGTGGAAGGTTGATCAAATTGCTGATGTGAAACTTGGGAGGGGAATGTACTGCTTTCATCTTATGTTGTAATACTCACAAGTGAAGTCTGGCAAAAGATAACGCATGCAAAAAAGAGGCTGCAGCATCTGTATATGTATATATATCTATATATATATCTATATATCTATATATCTACATCAAACAGCAGCCAACTGCTCTCCTGTTCCTCACGAGGAGTGTGCCAAGTGTTGAAAGCCTATGACCTCGTGCACTCTCAAAAGCACGCAACATTACTTTTCTGTACTTGTGAAAAATCATTGCTAGAAGAGGTAAGGAGTCCAGTTAGGGACGTCTTGTTCCAATTTTGGAACCATCTCCTCATCTGAGTATGCAGGTGGCTGAAGGCAGCCTTTTCCTGCCAGATAAAAGCATTTGCAGCCTATTGTTTGGGGAACATTTCTAAGAAGCAGTGTAAACAGGCAAAATGAAGATGCACCCAAACGAAAAGCATTTGAGTCACCATACTTAGTTAACCTGGGATTTTTTTAAACAACACATACAATTATTCACCAGCCTAAAACATTCATAAAAACATGTGCTGAACATTTTGTGAGATACTATTTCCTGCCTGAGGCAACTACATGCCTTATGCCCTATATCAAAGAATTTGCCTGTTTTATAATGCCCAGACAGACTGGCATTAACATTGCCAAGGTTCATCTCTTTTTTTCTCTGTGGAAGCCTGTGGAATATAGTCAGCTGGAACACCACAGCAAGTAATTACAAAGATGTTTAAAAACATTTTAAATCCTTTACATGCCTTTTTCTTCCAGAATTCATCTTACAGCACTTGTTTAGTTTCACCCTTTCCTCATATTCACCGATGATTCATTCAGGATCATTTAAGATTCACCCACAGAACTTTAAACGTTATGAGCTGCTTGGATTATAAGCGCCACAACTGACTGTGTATCAGTATCTCCTCAAGCATCACCAAGGGAGACATTCCTGAAAATGGCAACAAATGATGATTTTATTGTGAAAAATGGTTTTATAGTGAAAAGATTTCAAGATGTTTGAAATCTTCTTGTACTTCCCTTTGCTACGCTTTTTCTCCCCTTCCCTAGCCCAGAATGAGGAAACAGACAAGTTATTCTATAGCTGGTTCTCACCACCACAATATTCTCATTCCCATTGAGCTGTGCATTCAAGCAAAAACGAGAACAAACATTAACAGCTCCATTCCCACCCGTCTACTAGACAGGAATTCACAGATGCTTCATTATATACCTCCCACTGGCACTGGTGAGGCAGAAGATTTGCACAGAAAGGAGAGGGAGACTCGACCAAACACAAGATTCATTGTAGTTGCTGTAATGCATAATTCCATTACCTAATGTCAACCAAAACATTGTGCTGCTTCTTTTCCTCACTGTTAGATGTACTGGCATTGTCAACAGCACCTTAAGAACCTTTCCCAGATTATACCAAGGTCACATATACAAGCTTAAAGAACACAGGAAAAGAAATCATAACCATTTTATGTAATAGGAATTTTATTTTATACATAAATAATAACAAGACTGAGGAATTTTGGGACTTGCTACTTGCGGTGCTGATCCTGCAACAGGACAAGCATGGCAGACTTAACTCCCACTGCAGAACAGAGGACAAGGTCTCAAGATTGACCCAAAATACAGCGTCCTTTCACAAATACCATTGCAGAAGCCCAAGCAGCACATTGGCAGTCTTTCCTGAGGCAGAAGGCAGATTAGTCACATTCAAAATGGATTCCAATGGCTGTCCTCTTTTTCCTAGGAACTCGTTGCTTCTATCTATATTTTTATTCGCCTGAAGTCAAAAGGGCACAACTGATATTGAGAAAAGGGTGAAGAAAAGAAAAAAAAAAAAAACAGAATTATGGTATCGTAGGCCCTTTCTTTTAATTGTCAAAATGCATTTATATTTTTTTCTTTGATGTTGAAAGCTGATCAAAATCCATTTGATGAACACTCTCACTATTAACATCTTGTGTAGGGATTTAAGTAATCATATTTCTGACATGACAGCACTAATCCTAGAACAGCTTAGGTTGGAAGGAACTCCAAGGATCATCGAGTTCCTTGGTTCCTATAGCTATGCTGTATGGAAATATAAAAGAGAAAGAATATTTCACAGTAACAAAGCAACAACTGGCATCTTTTGTAATAAATCAGCATTCTCAAATGGAATTCTATTTCATTCCCATCAGGTATACTTTCTCTAATCTAATTTACTCTGGTATAAATCTAGGGTAATTCAATTGGAACAAATTAGATAAAAATGAACCTGAACAGGTTAAAAACGACAGATGCCATGGAAAAACACAAACTCTTGTCACCTCCATAAAGTTCACCAGCACAACTGGATAAAATTAAAGCTTGTTTCTCCCATGATGGGATGGATGTGGTTTGGGCTGTAGTTCGCATATAACTGCTAACCACAAACATGCACTGAAGTGCAATGCTGCTGGTTTTTTTGGAATGGAGAAACATGTTACTGCTTCCAAGCCAAAGCAATTTTGTCCCTGATCAGTCAAAAGTCAAAGACCCATGCTGTGACAAATCCTTGTAAGGAAAATGAGACCACATTTACTTTATAACCAGATTCAACTAGGATTATTGCCAACAGTTTAATACACAGTGAGACTCTCAGGACTGATCTCATTCAGAATAAACAAACTCATCTTTTCAAAGATCACAGCAGCGTTCTCCAACGTTTGGGATCACCCAAATCCAACAAAACAGCTGGACTTGAGTATGGAGTTAAATAATCGGATTTGATTTCAAGCAGAAGTAACAAATTGCCACCCCCACAGAACAGCTGAAAATTGAGACTGAATTGAACTTCCATCATTTGGTTGCTCTAGGTCAAAACTCTAGTAGGTGTATTTATGCAGAAACAACATGTGGCAAAGCAAGCAGATTTCAAAACCAGCAGCACCCAAATACTTTAAACACATGAGCAATCTTTACTCTAGCAAGAAAGACAATAGAACATCTGAGGCAGCAGCTATTAAAAAAAGCATGCCTCTACTTATACAGCATACTCTACGTGTATACTAATGATTGAAATCCTGAGGATAAAGGTTTTGGATAGCTTTAGTATAAATCTTCCTGACAGCTTCTCCTCCTACTTTTTTTTTATTTTTTTATTTTTTTATTATTTTTCTTCTAAAGAAAACTTGCCATAAGCACAAGCACTGAAGTCTCAGAAAGCGAGTAAAGACCAGGCAGAAATTATGCTCATATGCTAAAGAAAATAAGATTTATTTATGGGTTTCTGTTTGTATTGAGCATTGGGACAGCATCCCATAAATATTCAAAAATTAAGCTTTCCTGGCTTTTTATCACTTATTAACACTGTCCTAGCTAAAAAGAAGCACAATATGTTAGTGAATTTCAGAGCAGGTTTCCTTGCTTTTCTTGATATCTTACAAAAAAAAAAATAAAATCTTATTTTGTGTATTTTTATGTGGCTGTCTAAGATACTAGAAAACACATTTAGAGACTTCATATACTGACAGAAAAATAATTCTTGTGTCTGAAGGAAAACTTCAGTAAATCAGCCACTCAAAGTATCTTTGCCCTTTTGTGAACTAGCTATAGCAATTAAATATTTATTAATGGAAGCACAACATTAAAAACTAGTTTAGCTGGTAAAGCTGTAAAAGTAGAACACTTGTTCAGCAGACGTGCACTCTGCGTAGTGTTTGCGAGTGGTGATGATGCATGGAATAAAAACTGGGGGAGTTTTCTAAATCTGAGCTCTATTTAGACAGTTGGCAGCTAGGAAAAAAATAAAAGAATTTTACTAGTAAAAAGAACACTGAAAAAAAACTTAAGAGAAATCCCAACAATGCTAGAATCCTGATGAAAAGTAACTCTTTAACATAATGTGGAAGTAACATAAGCAAAGACAGGCAACTAAAAAACATGTTAAAAAAAAGACATCCTTACTATCTTCTGTGAGAAGATAATCTGATATGTCGTCCTAAATGATGTCCAATTACATAATCATTAGTGATAACAGGCCTTAGACACACAGCTACTTCTCTTCTATGAACTAGAACTACCTTCAAAAGTTCGGAGTTTCTGCCTCTTGTTTTGTTTTCTTTCTTTCTAGACAACTGTAACAATCACAGGACTTGCTGCAGCTCAGAAAGCAGCCTAAACCAGAACTGGAGTCTCAACTTTAGCTTCTGGCTCAGAGCACTGAAACATTGCCTCCATTTCCTGCACTATAGTTACCAACTGAAGAAGCAAGTTTCATTAGTGAAGTGCACCAACATGAAAGGTCAGGCACACCACAGATTGTTACAGCCTGTAAGATAAGGCTGTACCTTAAAACTGGCAAAACTTTATAGAGAAAACCTAAGAGCAGAGAATAGGTTCCTCTCCCCTTCTCTATACCTGCACAGGCAAGCAGTTTTTTGGTACTGGAGGCAGAAATGGGATGGGGAGAAGAAAACAAACAAACAGTATTGAAATTATTACCTCTCTTCCCCTCTACATCAACATGAAGAAGATAATTACATCCAAGTCCAATCTGCAAGTGTTTGTGTTACTTTGCAGCTGTGGTCATATACTAATACTGCTTTTTATCCTCTACCTGTTTGACATCAAGTGATCTGGTGTTCTACTTCAGGGCTCGCTCTTCATTTGAAGCGGCGTGGACTTCCAGGGGCTTGTCACCCTCCACTTCATTCTTAAGGAGAGAAAAACAGGCACAACATTTCAATTGAGGCAAGCCATTATTAATATTTTTGCTAGAACAGGAGCCCTTGTCAAAAGCTGGAACAAAAACTTCTTGCAGAAATCAAGTGATTGATGAGGTTAGTTCATTGTGATACCCTCCCCAAACTGTTTTGAGATTTTAGTCTTCCTGTAGTTAGCTCAGCAATTAATGGATTTGAAAGAACAAGTAGCTCAACAGAAGATGCTTTAATTGACTCATTTTTGCCTGCACTAATAATAGAGGATGAATTCCCACAGAGTAGTTGCTATTTTGCATTCTTTGAATTCTGTGTGAACTTATACAATAGGCCTCTTTTATACATATCCTTTGAAAGAGTGTTCTCACACTTTCTCTGAAATAAACGATGGAAATCAAAGAATGAAGAGATGCTTGTTACAGCATCTGGTTTATCTATTTGCCAAGTATGCTATAACAAACAGCCACTTGATTACTGTTTTAAATAGATGTCAATAAAAAAAGAAAAAAAACTTAAAGGGACATCCACACAGACAGAGGAACGAAGAACACAACATTGGAGAACAGGCTGAGAGACCTAGGCCTCTTCAGACTCAAGACCAGCCAAAGGGGAAGTCCAATTTCTATACACAGTCATTTAATGGCCATCTACATATCTGGAAGAGCCAGGCTCTTCCTGAGGTTCACACCAAAAGGACACGGGAGCAGTACAGCAAGTTTCTAGTAGTAGATATAAGGAAAGAGGGAAATAAATCACACCATAGGTTGCCCAGAGAAGCTGTTGAATCCCTATCCTTGGAGATATTCACCACGTGACTGGACAAGGTCCATGCCACCAAATGTATCTTCAAATCCGGTTCTCCTTTGAATGTGAGGAAGGATGAAATGACGGGAGGCCACACCCAACCTCAAACATAAAAGTTACTTTTACATTTTCAACACTAAAATTAAATTGTCCTTTGTTTGTATTCAGAAAAGAGATTTTTACCAACACGCCTTAAATAAATGTGATGGAAAAACATGGATTGAATTATGAATATAACTCTTACAGTTCCTACTCAAAATATCACTAGCAGGACTTTTAGAAGGTAAGTCTTTCTTTAGAAAGAAAAAACACTGATTTGATCACTATCCCGGATATTTCATAGTAAATGAAGTCACATCCACAGAACACACCCATTTCAAAGCAGTGACATAGTTTATAATTCTCATGTACAGGAACTTGTACGTTCTGACAGTGAACAAAGTGACTCACGATGCCTCATCTCAGGGATTACTCAATCCTGAACAAATGAACTAAAAATAAGTTGTTCACAGAGGGTTCTGCGTTCTTCCACTTGCTTGTTTTGACTTGTAAAAATGAAAATGATACCCAGGTAGAGTGCTTTTTCTTTTTTTTCTGTTTGGGGCTTTTTTGGCTCTGGAAGGAGAAAAAAAAAAAAGCCAATATAACAAACAATAACAAGTGTAGAGAAACAGGGATTCTGCTCAGTTCATTTGTGCTGATGAGATCAGCAGGTCTCATCACAGGACTTGCCTTCACCAGACCCATCAGGAGTTGTTTAATTCAAGTCAAACCACCACTAAACTGTCACTCCTCACATCCAAACACGTTTGTTTAAAAGAATGTGTTAATTGCTAATTAACTCCATTCGCTGCCCCTGCTTACTACATCAGCAATGAGTGAGCCTGATAAAGCATTAAAGCAGGTAGACAGAAAAAAAAGTCCTTCGAGCTGGCACAGGATATAAACACAATTTTACCAAGTTCCAAGATCCTCAAGTCTCACCCAAAACAAATTAGAAGCACACTAACACGGTTAGGTCAATGACCCAGAAGACAGCCTCCTCCATGGCACAATGCCTTCTTGATATTAGAAGCAGGCACATAGTCAAAAATCTTCCTATTTTCTGGCTCAACACAACCACTCCATAACACATCTGGGTGAACAGAGGAGTTCATGCATCAGATTTCTATCCCACAGCAGGAGCGGAAATATTTTGTACTCTTATGCAACTGACATTTTCAAACGCACGGTGACTGTAACAAATCTCCCCAATGCACTCCTGTACTCAATACACAAGGATTCCACAAGATCTAAAGAAGAAATTCATTATTTGAAATTCAAAATAATGAAAGTAAGGTGACTGTACACAATGTTTTTTATAAAGTTTCAGATAGTGACTGATTAAAAAAAAAAGTCAAGTTGACTTTACTGAGACCTAAGCTCTAGACTTGAAGCCATCAGACAGGGGTTGCTATAACATTTTTACTAACATATTTAGAAGAAGTTCAAAAGCAAGCTGGTCTAGTTAAAAAAAAAAAAAAAGGGGGGGGGGGGAGTGGTGGGGCTTGCAAAAGAGAGTCTGGTCCCAGAAAAAAACAATTACAAAAGAAAAACAAGGCGTTTAGGCTCACAGATTATTAATTTGCCCTTTCTTCTGTCTCTTTTGTTTGCCAAATGTTGCTTAGAATAAAGACATCACCCTTTCTCAGTCAGTCAATAGCAACACATTCTCAGTTGCTTACTTCTAGTTGAGCTTGAAATTTGCTCTCTTAGAAATATGGAGCACTATAAAAATGTTATTGTATTTTAAGTCACTCTAGAAAGCACAACCTTTGGTAGGGTAGATTCTTCCTTTTTCACCTCTCAAACACTTCATTCATCATGACCCAAACTAAGGATTCAGCCCCCAAAAAACTGCAGCCTTTTCAATTTCCTTTCTGTTATTGTTCTTACTACCAAAGCAGTAAAAAGTGAATGTATGACAGCAGACAGTATTTTCTGTCAGAAGTAGATGTTTATCATTTAGTTCAGGTTGCTGTCTCTTAAGAAGCCACCAACAACAAATCTTCGGTATTTACAGGAAATCTGTCAGCTGCTCATGCTTTGTTTTAAAATATACTTAAACCACAAGTGACTCAAACCTCCCAAAACACGATTTAGGTTTGCTATGATGACCATTAATGATGTCCATGGTTAAGTTACCCAGTCAAGACACTGACACCACAACTTCCACTTTCACCACTCCCTTGATCCCAGTGCAAGAAATGAGCAACCCAAAGCTGAACAGTCTTTGGGTTTCAGAGCACTTTGTTACCAGCTGATGCTTAATAAGATACTCAAACAGCTGTGCTTAACTAAGCACGTGTAGGTATGTATGTATACACATATGTACTTCTGTATATGCAGAAAGTATTGGTAAATTTCAGATAATTGCTATCACAGGACCAGAAATGAAACTCAACCAATAAGCTGTATGAGTTTCTCTGAATTTCTGAAGCTCCTTTAAAAAGTATAAACAACAGACAGCATGGGAAAAAAATAAAAATCAGTTTTCTGTACGATCTTATTACTGATTGGAACAAGGTGAAAGAAGCACACAAAGAAAGGAACACAAACTGAAAAGGGGGATGTTATTAGAGCTCTAGTGCTGTTCTGTTTCACTACATTTCAGCCATTTCAGTAAAAACAGTGGGTGTCTGGTTCACTATAACAAGGAAGAGGGAGAATCCAAAACATCTGAGAACAGAGCAAGCTAACTCTTTGATTGGTATGAAGAGAAGACAAAGAAAGAACTAACTGACAGAATAAAGCGTTTTTCTGTGTTTCAGTATGTTTCAACTCACTGGCTGGAACAAAACCCGTGCCTAAGTGACTTGTGCCAGGACACAGGCCTTCATCACTTGAAGATGAAACCACTGCAGCACGAGAGCTAACAACCCCACAGAACAGTACAGATGATAAAAATAGCAAAACCAGAGACAAAAGAGGAAAGACAAAAAAGGCCACATTTCATGACAGCTATCACCAGATGAGCTGAGTGACCAACAAGAAACTGACAGGTCAGCTGTATTAAACTGTAGCTCTGAAATACAGATGTTTAAGCAGTTCTCTGTAAAGAAGTTATTATTATCTTTTGCATATAAAGCTACAGTCCTTAAAGCTGTTGCACAACAATCGTCCAGCCATTACAGTTATTTTAGCCCTCTGATTTAAGAGCAGGTATTACAGGTGATCTCATCGAGAATTAAACAAAGATCCTGTAGTGGGAAAAAAAGAAGCTGCAATTCACAGGCTTAACAGTTCAGCTGGACTTGAATGGTAAAGCAAGAAGAAAAGCGTAGAGGGAGGAGATCTTGCATGGATTTTATTGGGCAAAGAGACTAGTTACTTAACAAAGACTAACCAGAGCCAGTGCAGAGTATGAGCCTTCATAATTGCAAAATTCCAGTAATGAAAGTTTGGTGTTGCCTAAGGCTACTCTAAAGAGCTCCAAACAGCATTCATCATTCCTAAAAACCATATAAAAATCATAGATGTGATTCTCTATCAACTGCAAACCAAGATAAACAAGGTTTGAATCCACTGTCACCTTTCCTGAAGGCTTACTACTTGGTAATATAAATGTTAACAGTAATTTCACTGATACTTGCGAAATCACTTCTTGTGAGTGAGTAATCAAGTAGGCAAAAAAATATTCAGAAGACAGAATGCTTCACATACTCCTGGGCTACCAATTAGCTGGTTACATTTCTTGTTCTGTCTTCTCTATTTGGGGGAAGACATAGCAAAGTTGTCCACTTGATATCAAGGTAACACACAGAGAAGCTAATTAACTACTCCTCATGTCCTTTTTGAAGAAAATGTTTCACCCTTCTTCAAATAAAAAATGTGAACATAGATTGTCACTTATGGTATCTGTATAGTTTGAGTTGAGCGCTTCTAATCCGACAACCTCTTCCTTCAGTAAACCAGCTTCAGGATACCAGAATGCTATACTGCAAATCACATATTCCAAACTAGAGACTAACTTGGTGTACAGAGGGGCTCCAGTCAGCATTTCAAACACTGGAGCAAAAGGTCCTGGAATTCATCTTTCTTGGCAGAACCTAGTTGATATGACCTCAATTTGGCATAGCTTACTGCCTCATAAAACCTTCAGAAAATCCACATACCACATCAACAGACATGAAGCTATGCACAGCTGTGGTACCTATGACTATCAAACAAATTATGAGCTGTGTAACAAATTAACACAAGCCAAGAAGAGCCACCCGTACACAGTTTGATTATTTGCAAGGATGCTTTATGTATCAACAAAGAAACATGAGAGCAAATGTCACAAAAACAAGCAAGTAACATCATTTGCTCTGGCGTGGTTTCAGGAACAACTGCCATGGTAAGAATTCAAGAATAACATTTGCATTTGCCTAGTTAGGAAGCCTAGCTGCCTGCTATATCAATTAGGGAAAGAATATATAAAAACAACCTGATTATTTCACCATGTTGTCAAATTAGGGTAGAAAAAAAACCCTGCTGTCCTACAACCTACCCCAGAATGCTTTGTCAACTTTGGTACATGATAGTTAGAAGTATTTACAGAATCATAGAATTGCTCAGGTTGGAAAAGACCTTAACATCACTAAGTCCAACCACACCCTAACCACACTACCTTCATAACAACCCTCTGCTAAATCGTGTCCCTGAGCACCACATCCAAACGGTTTTTAAACCCATCCAGGGATGGGGAATTTCCTGACATTTCCATAGAAGTCCTATTGATGTAATAGTTTGTACCGATTTTCTGGATCTCATCAACTGTAAAAACAGAAAGTACCATTTTACATTAGTATAACCACAGAGCATTACAGATGGACAGAAGAAGTTTTTCTTTGGAAGGCTTCCCCTTTCATTTTAGTGGTGCTCTGATGGTCTGTATGTACAAAAAAAAGTGGAGGTTTTCATTAATAGGCATGGCTGACCACCTCATCGCTACACTATCATTAATAAGCAAACAAAACAAACAAAATCATATCTTTTCAACTATGTATTTGGTACTGTTTCACCAACTTAGACCTAAGGAAATTGCCCAGCAGGCTTTTCTCATCACCAACTTAACTGACAACAGGTAACACCAACAATACCTGACCAGTTACATTAACTCTAGAAGGGAACTGTTAATCTTTTGTGCAAATAGTTTTGGAAACTGAGGAGCACAATATAAAGACTCGGCAAGGAGGAAGAGAAAGAAGTGTGTTTACTCAATGGTCTCTAACTTTGCATGTTCTTTGTTTTTCTGCTGAGGTAGTGAGTGCTTGAATAAACCTTATAGTATGATGAAGGCTTCAAAAGTTTTTGCCTTCCAACAACAACCACATTTTCCTTTTGACATCTTAGGACACAATGAAAGAAAAAGCTCGGCTCATTTTTACTGATGCAATCAGTTTGCCTTTCTGACATATTTTTATGTTGCCTACTTTTCTGAGACATTTTTTGACAGACAAGGTTTTAGGAAAGGTACAATAAGATTAACTAACCTTTGCTTATTCAAAGAGTAACACAAGTGTATTAATTAAACAGCCTAGGGGCCAAAACAGGGCGAGTATCCACAAGAAAAGTCAGCTGATAATGGCTCCCCTAAGGCTCAGCAGCTGATAAGATAGGTGAGCATTTCTCCAACTCATTTTGTTTGGAACCAGCCCCACGCCTAGCCCCGCACAGAAAACTCACTTCAATACCCAAAACCCACTCAAGTGCAGTTGCCTGTGCAACCTGTTCCTCTTGGTGGCCATCCCACTTACTTCTTAGACCTCTGGGTTGCAAATACCTTGCTGTGGTCTTCAGGTTTCTGTTCCCAGAACACCACCATTAAAGCCATGCATCATCATCAGCCTAGCATGAACTGTTAACATACTTATCAGGTCACAGTGAACCACCAAGGCTTTCTGCTGGTTCAAAATTGTTTTCAAATCACATTTCAGTTCTGCCATAACTAAAATAAGAGAAAGGAAGCAATCTGCTGCTAAGGCAGCAGTTTGCATCAGCAGAAATAGCACAGTTGCTTAGAAATTAGGAATAAAAAACACACTGAGTCTAGCAGTGGATTTTAAACCTCAAATGCTTTATGTTACATAGTTGAATTTTTAACTAGAAGTTTAAAAAAATTCCCTGAAAAATCTTACAGGTTGTCCCTCATGCACATTTTATATAACAGCACAATTGTTCAGTCTCTTACACTGCAATTCACTGAGCCATCCACATATATCTAGTTCCTTTATCTATATCAGAGGTACAGCTACAAGGACAGCCTGCCCCTGAGGCCTAATGGAAACGTGTAGTAGATAAAAAACAAACATCATTATGATAATTAACTCCAGAAGCTTTAGGCAGCCCATAAATTATGACCTAGACATTACATAATGTAACGAATCAACAAAACAAGTTCCCCTTTCTTCACAAGTCAATTCTAATTGTCAACTAATATCACTTACTGCACTAATTAGTGCACACTGCACTACTTTTGAATCTTGCATTTTGTAGAATGCAAAGTGCATTTGAAGTAAAATAGCATCTTCCTTCAAATTTTGTGGATTTTCTTTTTTTGTGGAGTATTTATGAATAGCTGCCTGAGCATAACGATGCCACTGCATGCTGCTCTATCAGACATTATTATCCAGTCACAACACATAGACCTAATAAAAATAAGCAATGATAGAAATATAAAACAACTACAAAAATAAAACTTCCAACCACTTTCTGAAACTGAAATAAGCCTCGTATTTTTCCACAACTTGGAAATATAACATGAAATCTTTGTCTTTAGAAATGTAAGCTAAATCAGAGTAGGTAAAATTATTTCTTTGTCTGAAAACAAGTTGGTAGATTTTTCTCCTAATCCAGAAATCAAGTTTTTCAGTCTTCTTACCTTATCACCTTTTTTCCCAGACTTCTTCTTTTTAGGATTATCCTTCCAAAGAGATTCTACAGCAATATATCCCTGAAGACTCCAGTCATACAGATGGGTACCAGCAACCTTTGAAACAAAAGATACTTGAAAGCATGAGTCTAATCTGAGAAATATTGATTTGTTTCTTGTTCATGTGGAAAAAAAATCCCAGAACCCAAGACCTTTAACATCTTCCTGTTCAAGCTCAGAGAATAAAGTCTTAATTAATACCTTGGGGAAAAATAATACATGGGAAATTAGAAAAGCCAACTCGCTAGAAAGTGCTGTTAGAAGACTACATGAAATACATCTGTATAAAAAGGAGTGGAATGATGATGTGCGGAAGCAATTCTGAGTTTTATAATGTTATAATACGTTCAATATATTTAATATATATGAATTATTTCTTCAATCGCCCATGCTCACTTTAAAGAGAAAAAAAAATCATTCTCACTTTGATACTATTTTGCAATTTGACATTTTCACTGTTTTGATAGACTAGTAGGAGTGCTCCCTTGTTTCTTCTTATTTGCAATTTAGAACAAAAACTTTATGTGCTGACAGATGGCTGTAACAAACTAGCTATTAAGCCTCAAAACAGAAGACAGCTAAGGAAAGATAGTGCTTGCTGTATTACACCAACTATTACACCAACAGTGAATTCTGTAACAGAACAAATTCCTAAGTCTAATGTGAGAATTCTCACCCCTTATGATATGGATCCACAATAATCATAGCATCCACAGATCCATAGCATCCTAACATCTACGAGTTTTAGGTTCTTACAGCTCCAGGCTCACATCAGTAGTAATTTTCAGATTAACACGTTTTTCTTATAAAAATGGACATAAAAACAGACAATTTGACTAACTAGACAGATTAAACTAAAAGCTAAATGAAATTGAGAAATGAGAAGGTATAATTCTCTCTCCAAGAGAGAAACTGGAAAACTACCACTATCAGATCAGAGCAAGTGCAAGTGATTCTTCTGAAGTTTCTTCCAGCTTCCAACAATGTGCTGCTCAGAGTTTCCCTGAACCAGAGGCCATTCCTGTGTCTAACAATGCCCAATGAATGTACCTCCTTATGAACTTATCCTGTCTCCTCTGGAGTCACATGCAACTTCTAGCATCCAGAACATCATGTGCTGAGGAGTACTACTGCTAGGCACGTATCACACAAAGAACTACTTCCTTTGGTCTGAACCAAATAAACTATGCCAATTGTGCACCATCACCATGACAGATGTGGGCAGAGATCACAGTGCCACCTTTGTATTGCAGCTTACGATTACAAACTTTCAAACAGTACTGAGACCTCCAGCCTTATAACTTTTTCAGTGCTGCATTAGATTTTAGGAAGTGCAAATAAAAACCTGCAAGCTGCTTACAAGGATAAATACTTGATAGTAAGGATCATAGAGTTCTCTTTCAGGTGGCAATTAAAATTCCACTCAAATCAGTAACATGAGGATTTGAAATACATCAGTAGACCAGCTTATGTCCACAAACATACGAGGTTCTAAAAAACACTGCATTGAAAACCCAGGGGCTTTATGCAGCACCAATGACCTTCTGCTGATATATGAAGATCACATTCACCACACAAGGAATTTGGCATCAAAATCTCAGTAACAAATCCCTCATTCCTAAATCCAGACTTATTAATATACAGAGAAAACCAGATGATCTCAACAGCCAGCCACAAATCTGCATAAACCCTAACTAAAGAAGCTACTTAATAATGAACATACCAGGAATTAAAACCAAACAAACTAGAAATCCAAATGCAAACCAACAGCAGCATTTCTAAGCCACAACTGAATTTGAGATGTGGGATGTTTCAAATACCAACAGCTAGGATCTTCGTCATCATCTTTGATGATTACAGCTGTGATTCGATTTTAAACAAATTGATACAATGCACAGAGTTTTCCCCTATATTTTAAGTCTGTAAAAGTCATCAGGAAAAAAAAAAAAAAACAAACTCAAATAGTTCTGGGGATGAAGGTGTTAAATCTCCAGAATCCTTCCATGCAAGCAACACAGGTATAACCATTCATCTTATACAGTATTCAGGAGTGCACACTCTCGAGTACTCCAACAAACTAGTCCTGAAAACCTCTGCCTGATCTGATAGGATGGTGCAAGGAGCATAAACTTTCCAGGACTGGAAGATAACTGCTACAAAACACAAATGCAGGGTTGGGCTTTGGTGGTTATTTGGGGTGCTTTGTGTGTGGGTTTTTTTTTTTTTTTGCTGCAGTGTTACTGAGGACAAGCAGCAATCAACACGAAGTGAGAAACAGGTAGTGTCCATAAAATCTCTCTCGGTCCTGCTTAAAAACTGAACAGCACCATTTAAAAATATTCTACTGATGGAAGTCATATGATTAATTATGAATTATACTAAATGACAAACTGGTCCTTCATGTTGTTGGAATAAAGTAGCTATATCATAGGTACAGCAACCCACATAGGTTATTCTACCAGAGTCAACCACTATTCCACCATTTGCACACACCTCTCAAGAGGCAGGACCCACGCAGAGGCTCACAGTTCACATGCATTGTGAAACACAGTTCTAGAGAACTGTAAGCTGCAAGTTACAAGGTCAACAGGATTATTTCCAAGAAATTCTTGATAATCATCTGATACACCCTCTTATTAGCAGAAAGCTGGAGGTTGTGTTGTATCGTGTACTTTATACCTCTCCCTTTCTGATAGAGCAGTTTCAGAGGAAACAGGCAGGTACTGCAGTCTCCACCATTATTCTAGGGAGTGGCACTTCCAATCCAGAAAAGTAAAAGGAACAGAAAGAGTACAACAAGTTCATTCAACTGTTCTAAGTGTTCATTTGAACACTGATACAGAGTTCCTTCCAGACAAGGACATGTTTTTTTTCCCCAACAACCACCCACAATTCTTAATTTCTGAAAGATAATTTCCAGTTTGTTTGCTTTAAATTATTACATGTTAAAATACCTCTGTTCACTGCAATGCTGCAAGAAAGTTTGTGTGCTAAAATGTGAATAAATGTTCAAAACTCAGATTGACTGGTTTTCCACAGGGCCTCTGAAATAGTTTAAACGTGACCCTGTGCTATGAGTAGCCATATTTGGCCCTGCTGGAGCACCATCTGCATATCCCAAGGCCAAACGCACATGTGAACACTCTTCCATCTTTTAATTCCACACAAGACTGTAAGCATATAATACTGAATATTCTGTATGCTGGATGTCAAGATTATCAAGGAGAATTAGTTAGCAATTCTTTAGCAAAACTGCATGCTGAAAAACTAAATTGAAGATCTGCTGCCTTTTCTGCTGTACGCTGCTAATGAAGTAGTACAATTTTACATGGCTCTTCTATTCTGCAATGAACATGGATCAATTGATCCCAACTCCTCCTTTTCAATCTATAGTCTCTGTAATTGTGTCATGCACTCAGTTGCATCAGCACAGCTGTTTATGCCTCACAGAATAAACTGGACAAGGGAAGAGACACACATTCAGAAGAGAAACAAATAATTTTGTTTGTTTACAAGTAAATAAACTAGGAAGTTCTCATTTCAAGAAGCGAGCAAACATAAAGCACATACTGCTACATGGAACGTGACAAGTTCTAATACCAGGGAAAAAATAATAATTCTAATGACAAAGAGAATGATTTCAGTAATTTAATAATGGAAAGTTTTCCAGTTGGAAGATAAATCATAGTTAATGCAAAACATTTTGAAATGCTTTACGGCTAGTTGAAAAGCAATGCAGCTCTTACATACTAGTTAAAGGTTCCACTACAACAAAAGAAACATTAATATTAAATTTGGTTCCCTTACCACTTATACAGCCTGACTGGTTGTTCTAAGGTATACAAATGAAAATAATGCTAACAGTGAGGAAATAAATCCCTTACAAATTTGCCATTTGTTAGAATGATTACTGAAGGATAGAAAAAAAGAACAAACCCCAACACCAAGTCCATGCATTTTAGTGTCTGAAAACTACATATGACTAACACTGTGCTCTGCTGCTATGACTTCAGTTTTCAACTCACACATTTCAGCTAAAGTAAAAAGATTTCTTCCAGATGTATCAAACATTGCACCTCAACTGCAGGTGTACCTTGCTATGCTTATTTCCAGTTCTCTGATGAAGAGTGATTAAAAAAGGAGGAAGTATTTTTTACTTAAAAAAAAAAAAAAAAGCCAAATCCATTAGTTTAGCAGATGAAAGCAACTGTACCTCTGCAAATGAAAATTGCTGATGAAAGACTCAAAAGAAGAAAAAAAAATACATAAAGAACAGATAAAAAACCTTAAAATTTATGTTCCAGCTTATTTCCTATAGTCCGCTATTAACCTGGCACATAAGCTTAGTGCTGCAGCCATCTACTTTAGTCTTACAGAATTTTTTTTCACATGCCTAGAAAACTTTTCCAAACAATACTAGGGGAGCGTTTCCAATTTCAGATTCAAGCATTCGAATGATAAGATAGGAAAATATGATATACTTAAAGCTTTTCTTCTTTAAGAAAAACACGTGTGAGGTTAGAGGAACCAAAAGAGCGTACCTAGGATATCACTCTCTCCACAGAAGTTTTCAAACTCTTACATCTAGTGCCCTGACCAAGTCAACAAAGCTAAACCCACTTCAATCAAGTTCCAGGCTCAGAGTCCCTCACTGGATTTTTTGTTATTCAGATTGCACTAAGACCCATGAACTGATCAAAGCAACACCGTGTACTTCAAAGTTATGGCAAAATAAACAAGGTATTGTGAAGCTGTTAGTAGCAAATCCACAGTTAAGACTGAACAGAGCTTTTTTTCAATACAGTAACATCAGTTTGATCACCATTTAATCATTTCTCACTTCACTGTTCAGATGACAAATAGAATTTCAAATTTCACAACAGAAATATCTAAGCTTCTTGAATTTTAGAGTCTTTTTCCTGCCACTTGTGTAATTTTCACTCTCTGTGGATAAGTCAATACTTATCTGTATTTAGAGCATCTGAATCCTGGAAGCATTAAAAAAAAATTCCTGTCAAGATCAGCATATCACCATGGTGACAAAGGAAAAAATGCTGTATTTGAACTCCCCTTAAATCAGTGACCTGTCAATTCTCAAGCTGTATGTTCTTGAGAACATCATACTTTCATCCTGATATATCAGCATCACACACAAGCCAATTTATCAAAGCCTAAAACAAAAAATATTTCAGATACACTGAAATAAAGGCACTTTGTGGATTTGAAAAAAAAAAAATAATAATAATAATTTGATGTAGAACTGGGGAATCTGACAGTACAGTAAAGAGTGTGTAGACAGCAAGGCATGTAAGATGAACAGGGAATGTCAGTAATTGTCAGTAATTCTTCCGTCCTCCCCAGCCCAAGAAATGCACTGTACATTTAAGTTAGAATGATGTGCAAGTGCATGAAACAACAAAGACATCAACAGAGAAGGCATTCAATAAGCAGCAGAACCCTTACGTCATTTCAGAACGTGCACAGTATCTTTCTTCAAACTCTATTCAGCAAAACCTAATTAATGATCCTTATCTCAAAATGTTATTCATATGATTTCTCTACGGAATTTCCTTTTGCTTTTTTTTTTTTTCTTTTTTCTTTTAAATCCTATTTTCATTTGTTCTCAAGACATTTCAGGCTTCCTCATAACTAAACATGCACACTCTATGTACTTATTTATACTAATTTATAATTACTTGAGGTTCAGGATTCAGAAAGGAGGTTATGTACCTCAAACTGAGGACTATATCAGATTTTAAAAAACAAAACGAAGTCATTGAATGAAATGGAGTCACTGAGAGGCTTAAGTTGGAAAGGATTTTAAAGTCCATCCAGTTCCAAGCCCTAACAAGGACAGGGCTGCCACCCACTTCATCAGGTTGCCCAGGGCCCCAGTCAGCCTGGCTCCAAACGCCTCCAAGGATGCGGCACCCACAAAACGCCTGTCCTTCATTCAACGCATACCACACGTCCTTTGATGAAGCTATTATTTTTTTAAGCACCAAGCATGCTGACAGGACTTCTATGAAAACAGATTAATTTGAAAGGAAGCAATAATTTGAAGTAAAAGACACTTCTTCAAAGAAAGATATAGTCACTGACCTTTGCAATAGCAACTGCTTGTTGAGGATAATACATGGAAGCACCAATACTCATGAAACCTGCAGGATACACCAACTTCTTTATTTTTGATCCTGTTTCACAATGAAAAAGTACATTGTTAGAATATATGTTAGCAGACAACTGAATGGCCCTACTCAACTATTACTTATAAATAACATAATTCTGTTATATAGAGTTTAGCACATCTTCTGTTCAGTCTGACTGATTTTTAAAAAAGTATTACTGGAACACAGACATCTTTCCATGGTGAAAATTACCTTAATTAACTTACTAATACCAGAGAAATTTGGGAACTAACTAATGAAGCACAAACCACAGTTAAGAGAATTTTATCAACTGATATTCTTTTCTAAACAAAGAAGAAAAGCTCAGGCAAAGAAAGTTTAGGACAGCATTCTCACAATGTATCGCACAGAACAAGTAAAGCTCTATTATGAAGTTTGTAAGTTACCTTGATTCACAAGCACTTATATGTCCATAGCTGTTCTTATGGCTAAATTGTCTTTCTAAATTGTTTCATTACAGCAGTTCACAAAAAAATTGAAGTATTTCTTTAAAACAAAAACTAACAAGTAAGCTGTATGCCTGCAGCTCAATCACCAGGCAAATTCTGAACATTTTAATCAGGGCACAATGCAGTTTAACAAGGAATGGAGATGGGAGCAGGTATGGGTACAAAGCAAGTAGTAAAGCAGAAAAAAGAGGAATTGGGGGGTCACAAAAGAGACACACTGGTGTCAGGATTCAGTAATTCTGTTCTTCATAGAACAGTTTTTTCTATGTGCAAAGTCGTATATACGTCTAGCAACAGTTAGTGTTTTTAGTTATAACTATCATAGAATGGCTTGGGTTGGAAGGGACCTCAAGGATCATCAAGCTCCAACTAGGTATTTATACTACATGGGATTTTTAGCTTTTATTAAAACTTAGGACCTTATATTTCAGATTCAGTCTCAATACTTCCCCCCCCCCCCCCCAGCAATCTTCATGTTTTTCATAATTCTGCTACAGACAACTGGAAACTGATATCATTCATAATTGTGTAACTCAAGAAGCAGGAGTTTGAAGAGAAATGTCAAATGGATTAAGACAGAGATCTTGATTGTCATGAAAATGCCCACACCAGAAAAGAAAGCATTATTAAATCTTATGAGGAGTACAAATATGAATGTATATATTGTATATAATGTATAAATGGAATGATTCCCATTTCTGAATAGCCAAGCATATGCTTTATTTCTTCAACACTTATGTTTTATGTGTACTTTTATCCAAAGGGAGTCCTCCCTAGTGTTTCAGTTCTGCAACTTTGTAGTTCCAGTACCAAAAAGTATTCATCTTGTTTTACTTCATTCCACTACAATACAATATTCCACTACCAATACAAAATATTTGTTCGTGTTTAACAGTTCTTAACATTTGTAACATTTATGTTTATTTCTGTGAAAGTATAATAGAGTATAATTCCCCAACTAGTGCAATGAAACTAACTCTGTAGTTCTCTACAGTAATTTACGTATGTGATCAAGAACTAAAAAGATTTTTTGGCTAAGAAAAAAAAATAAATTCCTTTCCTACTTTTGTTATATTAAACTAGAATTGAAGTGGATCAAAGGCCAGAGTCCAATAACAGATACAATATTCGTAAACATTAATTAATGGTTATATACACTTTTTACAAGAAGGTTCCGTATAATTTGAAGAATACTGTAGAAACATGCTTGTGCGATTAAGTCAGATCTCATTTGTCACAGTTAAACATTAGTAACAAGAAAGAATCCCACAGATAAATGCGTTATTCAAAATTTTACCATAAGCAGTTCAAAAGGTTCCCACTAACCTCTGGCAAGAAACAATCCAAGAATTCCAGCAAAACCTACCACACCGAGCCTAGGGTAAAATCCAGCAGGGGGGTTTTGCAGAAATTCACAGCCCTCTGAAAAGAAGTCAGAGCACAGTGCATTAATGTAATGTGAAAGTGTTTTTGTGATAAGAAATCATCAATATATGCTGGCGATTGTTACAAAACAGAGTTATCAAAACACATTTAACTATCAGGCACATTTTAGATCTGCTGGCATAAAATTCAAAAGCCTTTGAGATCTTCTCTAGTGACACATGAATGAAACTGAATATTGTATTGTATTTACCAATTTTTGTAGAAGACTTTGCCTTTGCTACCAGGCCGCCTGCTTTGCTCTGCTCTTTTGCATGTTGATTATAACCTTTTCAAATTAATGTTTAAAATCCTTTACAAAATAGATTAGTGCATTTACATGACGACAAGTATTAGTTTCAGTGAAACACTGTACATAAAACAAATCACAGATCAAAGGAAGAACACAGCAAAAACAAAGCTCACTCCAGGGTGGGAGTCTGATGAAGATGAAACACCTGCCATTAAAGAGATCATGAGACTGTTGAATTCAGGAAGGAAGAGGTGCAGTATCTGAAAGGAGCCCTAGATAGCATCCATGCTCAGTCTTAACGAGACTAGATATGGTGCTTCCAAAGCATTCAGAAATGAATAAGTTACTTTGAATTAATTCAAAATTCTTAGGAGATTCAAGGAAATAAAGCAGTATGAGGTAAATTTCAGTTACTGGGCTGAGTCAAGCAAATAATATATTATGCTTGGTTTAGGCTGGGAATACTTTGTCAGTCTTTTCTTCCTTATGTGTCATTCTTAATAATATTGGTTATGAGAGATGCAGGTATCAGACTTCAGCTGTTTAGAAAAGGAAATTTAAATTGATACACTGTGCACAGAAAAGTAGTCTCAAATGGATTAAGAAAACCATATACAGTGACTCCTAGTGAAATTCCTTTCTGATAACAGATACACTACAGTCCTACATTTTAAATTGCTAGTCAAGAAAACTAAACTGATTTACCTCTACCATGCTCAACAGCTTTCTCTAATTTGGGCATAGCTTTGGCATAAAGATCCTAGAAAAAGAAAAGAAAAGAAAACAATGGTAAACAGATACCAATCAGATGAAATACTAACTACAGATTTTCACTGAAAAAAAAAAAAAAAAAAAAAAAAAACAACTGTTGGGTCCCTAATGGAGCCTCCTGATTAAACTAACTATAATGCCTTTGTAGCTTTGGACCTGTAAAACCTACCTGTAGAACTTTTCATTTAATAAAAAATAGAAATAGAGGGAAAAAAAAAACATGCATTGCTTTGTACCAATATACAAAACCAGCAAAGAAACCGAGGAAAAACAGAACAATTTCACAGTTTCAATTTTACCCATCTTAAGAAAGCTACTTGTTTTTATTCCCACTTCCCCATTCACTTATTGCGGGGTTATGCTAGCATACATATTTTTTTCTCCAAGTGGATGGAGATTAAACACAGTACCTCAAAACACAGGAGTCTTCTTCAATATTTCACTGATTTCCTGACCACATATCCAAATTATTTGCAGCGAGAATTTCAGGTTTCTCAGTGTATTCAGTCATTGCGAAAGTACTCGAGTAAACGCAAAGGAGGCAAGTACAGCACTGCAACAAACTCTTTCCTAGTGCTTTACAGGGGGAGACATGGCTTATTTTGCAAGGTGATACATTACTCTTTTCAAGAAACTGTATCTAACAAAAACGAATTTTCAGGTGACTTGGAGAAACTAGATGTTGGTACACTGTCCTAAGTAGATGGAAGGGCACCTCATCAAAGCAAGGTTTTACTTGGACTGAAAATATACAAGACATAACAGACATGCAGATAGATATATATGCAGAGTTCACATCATGTTTTATCACATAAAAAAAAAGACTGAGTAAGAACAGCCTTGCTAATTGCTATTAAGCGAAAAACCTTTAACAAGTTAGACAGTATAAGACTATTCATTAATTAAGGAACAGGTTCATTAACATGTATGCCCAAAGCTAAAGAAAAGAATGGTCTTGCAACACCACTTGAGCTCTATCTGTGGAACAGCATTTGTTTGGGATACTGCACACGGATATCATCTTTAGAACTTCCATTTCCTCACTGTCAACAGTGACCTAACAAAAACTTGTGGCAAAAAAATAAAAAGTATTAGCATGTGACACACAACAAACTTAAATGGGTGTTGTTATTACAAGCCAGTGAAGGAAACAACAAACAAACAAACAGTGTTCTAAGGACCACGTAGGCTAAGTAACTGTGACCTATCACAGCTCACACAAAACCAGTTCATTTCTGTATCTCTGTTTTGAATTGTTTCCCATAGGGTTAAGTAATTTTAGAAAAGTAAAATTCTGAATATAGTCAATTTCCTCAGTATTGTGGGTTGTGTTTTTAAAGACAATTGTGAGACAACTAAAAGATGATTTTCTTTTTTCTTTAGCGTGTCTGGGGTAAGAATCCAAATTATCTCTGACTACGGTTAAGCAAGCAAGATGATCCCAGGCCCATACAGGCTACATGTTCTCTTCATAGAATGAGTCAGTAAACCACTGCCAGGAAATGGCTTGTTGGATGTAAACAGAACAGCACGTTTCATGTACATGACCACCATCCAGCCAAAAAAAAAAAAAAAAGGCAAATGAGAAGACAGCAGGCCAGTGAGACACAAAGCTTATGAGTAATCACTCCAATCAGCCAACACAATTTATCTCAAATTTCACCTCAGAATTACCCCAGGTAAAGAGGGAATTAGAGGCCAGAACTCTAACCAAATTAGAGAACTCTAAACAAAGTCACCCATTGTCTTCAAAACTGAAGCTAGTACGCCTGCTTGATGATGGCACTTTAGAAACACATCACTAGTCTGAAAAACTCTGAATATTTCTGCAAAATGTTTTGGTACCATTAATGGTCAGTATCTCAACAGAGAACGTGCAGACAGGAAGGACACCCTGATCTGAACATTTTGGCTGTTTATGCAGAACAAGAGAAACAGTTTGCAGCTTAACAAGAGGGTTCACAGCTGTCAGTTTGTAAAGCAAAGAAACGCGTACAGCTGCCAAGAGGCAACCAGATGACAAGGATGCCCTTGCTTCAAAAGTCAGCTTCAACACTCCCTGGGCCATCATACAGCTCAGTACTCTAATATCAATAACTTAAACCTTCATTACAAAGACCTTTGCTATCGTCTTTGCTCCAATGACTATTCTTGCACTGCATGACTGTTTATTATAAACACGATGCCTAAGCAAAATATAAAAGCAAGTTTCAGAGTAAGGCCCAGAGGTCAGGTTTGCTGCTGAGTAGCAGCTAGGGGATTTTTGCTCTTCTGGAGAGCCAAGTTCCTGCTCTCAACATTCCCAGTCAGTAAATACTGATTTTTAAAACTTTTTTTTTTTTTTTTTTTTTTTTAATTTTGCTTTGACAGAGTTGTAGTGTGTCATATTTGCAAGGAGGGCAATTCAGTACAGCTGCCTGCAAAACACACTGCTTGAGCATGCAAAATACCAATTTATCATTCTGCTGTCCTCTTGAATCACAGGACAGTACCAAATCCAGATATACCACAACTTGTGATACCTCAACCTTTCAAACTTCTATATAAGAGAATGGGCATCTAATTAATTGTACTAAGCAAAATGTTCAGGCTTCATTAGCAAGTCTAAAGGCGTGCTATAAAAGAGCAAACATGACTTTACATTATTAATGTACCTGAACAGATTTTTAATCAAAAACATTAGTTTCCAGTATCTAGTGCTATCACTAAGGTGAGGGCACCTCAAAAGCCTTTTTTAATGCTTTCTGCACAGCAAGTTTCCTTTAGAGGTAATGTTACCCTGAAATAAATAAATAGATAAATCATTTTACAAACGTTAGAAAGCAAACTTAAAAAAAAAAAAAAACCAACAACTCCAAAACAGCAAGTTTTCCTGCTGTAAGTAAAACTTAGGAGATTTGTTCATGCAGACATCAGCACTTTCAACAATAACAATTGATTCTCAGTTTATGAAGTTGATCATCAACCTCTCAAGTAACTTTGTTCCCTGATAACTACTTCATGAAAATTAACTGCGCAAAGAATTTACAGACAGTAATTCTAAGCTTCAGCTAGTAACTTTTTTTAAACAGAAATTGTGGAAATAGAAGGGAATTAATTAACAGAAAGAAAAAATAGCTTGAGTGATAAGGGGTAAACACAGCTAGCTTGTGGAAAATATTAGGAGATGCAGCATATTGGGAAAAAAAAAAAAAAAAAAAAAACTTGCATAGCTGTTATTTTCTTCCTAAAAATCCTTTGCTGCTATCTATTAATTCTGTGCCTAAAACCAGAACCCAACCTCCACCCTTACCACCAAAGCACTACCAGACACAACACAAGACCATGATACCTGGCACCAGGCTGTGTATGGCTCCATAGCATGCCGTAGCTGTGAAACCCCCTCCTCCAATTGGGTTTGTGGATTCTCCACATATTTAGTCTCACGAGCTGGAGAGGAGTAGAGTGACAGCTGTGAATATTAGCAAACAAGAGGTTAAAAACAAAGGTGTAACTGCAAATAAGTTCTCAGGGTACAAACAGTCTAACCAGAGGACATCTAATGTGGTGGTTACTATATGAACAATGCACAATAAAAATTCAGGTACAGCTTTGAGACAACCATTATGAACTCAGTTTAATTATACACTGTGATGAAGATGACTGCTAATTGCTGTGCATTCATCCGTAATTCATCCATAGTTGCTATATGATTCCAGTCACAGGTTATAGATTAATATTAAACTAGTTCATAAGAATACAAAACATAATAGTGAAAAATGTTTCTAGTCTTAATCAGCACTGCTGGTTCCCAGTTAATACACTCTGAAATCACAGTTGATCATTTTCTATATTTGCACAAGCCACCATTAAAGAGTTTTAGTTGTTTCTAACACAGGTAACATCCAACACAAATTTGGCTATTACTGAGCAGGAAAATGGTGCTACATCCCAGTGTTGCTGTCATTAATCACATCAGCAACTGTCAGAATTAATAGCACCACGCGCCTGAGCAAATAGAAATCTGGAGAGCAGTGAGCATCCTCACATGGTAGATAGAAAAACACAGTGTTCAGAGTTTTGCATCACAGTGTATTTATTACAGTCACCTAAACACATTTGAGACTGTAGCACTCAGTTGAAAGATTGAAGCCTATTCTGCCCAGCAGTAAAGTTCAGATCAAAATAAAAACTGTTCCTAGTGGTTTCTACACTGCACAAATGTTTACAGTGAGATATTTTTATTTTATACCACATTTGCTTTGGTAGTTTTTTCTCAGCTAACATTAAGAAGCATAGCTAGCACCATTTCAAGTTGGAAAACAATGCCATCTCTTACATTAAAAAAATCTGCTAACGTTAGTTAAGATACAATCTGACAACTTGTGCAATTGGATGTCCCATAATATTTTCAAAGACAAACATCTTAAGTTTCATTTCCTCAGGAAATGCGGTCATCTCTCGCTATACTCAAAACCATTGTAACTTTGACCCCAACAGAAACCCCAAAGGACGTGCCTGGCAGCAGAACAGAAGTCTCAGGGAGGAGAGAGAAATTCCCACGCATTTTATGAAACCGGACGGCTGCCTGGTTTGAAATGAACATAGGCTGTGAATGCTCAGGACAGCAGCCAGAAACCCAGTGCTGCACATTCTGCTCTGCTGCTGGTTGGCAAGCCAATGACTCGGCACACACGTCATGTCAGCCTGCTGCCTCATTACTGAGTCACACCAGTGGTGGCACGGGGCACGCAGAAGTCCAGGTTACCATCACCAAGGTGAAGTCAAGAGGCCGTTTCAAACGCTCCTCTCAGACTGACTGCCCATGGGAGCTGCTGTTGCAGACACACACAGATGACCCACGTACACACAGATAGGTTACGTTTTGTTTTCCTGCTCGCAGAACACTTGAGCTTGGGCTGAAATACTTCATATTTTAAGGCAGCCATAAAGCTGTATTTTTGTATTTCATAACCAAATACACCTTTCCACTGTTGGAGGCTGTTCCAAACCTATGCAACAACGCCACTGAGTAACTACACAACTGCTTAACAGTGTGTTCGAGATCTCTCCTTACGAAACAGCCAAAACCTCTGTACCACCTTAGAGAAGAAATAAAGCAGCAGGTAGTTATTATCATTACTTCTCATATTAGTTGTTAGTTACGCCTGAATGCTGCGAGGCAGGGAAAACTGGTATAATTCTGGGCAGAGGCAATCTAGCCTGTAGGCTACAATGTTCAGGACTGAACTTCACCAAGAAAAAATTTTGCCTGAAAAAAAGAAAATAAATTACTGTGTTTTTAAAAATAAAACCTTTTGATTTTGCCGCTTTATTGGAAAACACAAATGAAATTTTATTACGGTTTTCCAACACTGTTTATTCATAATTAAAAATATATGGTGTTACTTAGATTAAAAACAGTCCTGTGGATTTTAAACATGACCACAGTAGGTCTACAAATGGGAAAAGTAATTTCTCAATGAAGAAGAGAAGGTTTCAACACAAAAAAGACTTGCATACAGACAAGTCTATGCTGTCAAGCAGAGAGCAGCAGATGCAGCCCTGGGTAAGAGAAGCACAGTCACATCAATGCCTCTAATGCTGAAAACTGAGAAGCAAGTTTAAAGGCAGGAATACAAAGTGTAAAGAGAAGTACCTAAATGAGTTTTATACATCAAAGTATAGCATCTTTCAGAATACTGCAGGTATTCCTGCATAGATACAATGCTAGCTGCTCTAACCATACTTACCTCATCAATTTTCAGCAACACTTTTTTGGACGTTCCCTTCTCTGAAGAGGAAGCATAAACCTGGATAGAAAGCAAGCTCAGGCTTACTGGGGTGGCCCCCAGCCGAATTACCTATAAACATTAGGGGAAGACAAACATATCTGTAAGTTCAAACAGAATGCAAACATGTTTGAACACCCACCCATGTAAGCTATATACATGGCCCAGTAGATGATAAACAACAAATTAACATGGAAGTCAGGGGAGAGGGGGAAGTCAGCAGTGCAGCACCTAATGCTGTCAGGCACCTATGTGAGAACATCTTGAATATTAGGATGGTATTTAGAAAAGCCTAACACTAAAAGAGACAGTAGCTGTAAAACCTTTCATCTCACAAAAGGTCTTCCATTTTTTCCCACATTTGTCAACCTTGCCAGTATAAATTCTAAGAATATGATATTCATATTTTAGCTTTATGAGTGTCCATAGCACCATTATTTTTTATTATGCAGTCAGTACTAAAGAATTCAGCCTTTTATTTCTAGTTGTTGAAGGCATCAGATCAATCACCAATTTCTAACAATTTTAGGAATGACAGAATGCCTCGGACTGGAAGGAATCTCAAAGCTCACCCAGCCCCAACCCCTGCCATGAGCAGGGCTGCCCCAGTCCTCATCCAACCTGGCCTTGAGCGCCTCCCTCCAGGGATGGGGCACCACAGCTTCTCTGGTGAAGCACAGGTTGCCCACAGAAGTGGTGAATGCCCCATATCCCTGGAGACACTCAAGGTCAGGCTGGACTGGGCTCTGAGCACTTTGATCTAGCTTTTGGTGTCCCTGGTCATTGCAGTGGAGTTGGACTAGATGACCTTTAAGGGTCCCTTCCAACTCAAATGATTCTTTGATTCTCAGAGAAAAATTTCCCCAACATTTAACCTAAATCTCCCCTCTTTTAGCTTAAGACCATACCTCCTTGTCCTATCACTATCTAGGCCACAGCAAGGTCTCCCTCGAGCCTTCTCTCCAGCTCTCTCAGTTTGCCTTTGTAGGAGAGATGTGACTGAGTTTGAATACCTCAGATTCAAGCCACACAACACAACCATCTCAATGAAGGTGAATGCAATTCTTCTTATACTCTTGACCTACACCAAACTGCATTTCTTTACAGAAGAGAGCACTTTAACAAAAAAAAAAAAAAAAAAAAAAAAGTATTAGCTGTGTAATGAAGCAAGCATGTGCATTTTCCAGCAAACACATCTCCTTATTAACAACGCTTTACTCAATAAATGCAGTTCAACAGGAAACCTTTCAGCGTCTCATGCTCTCATTCCTGCTTGATAAGCCTGTGCTTTGGTTGTGCAGCAGTTACAGCTAGGCCTAGCTCTGCCCACAGCACCCATTCCCAGCAGTCTTGCTTTGATGGCAGACACCTCCTGTCATGAGGCAACCAACCCGGCCCATTTAGCCACAGGTCAGTCCTGCACGGGTGGAAAGCTTCATGCGGGGTCACCAAGTTGAGCCTACTCACGAACATATTTGTGCTGACAAGCACCAGAGGGCCGTGCAGTCTGAGAAGGGAGGGTGAAGAAGGAGAGGGCAGCACAAGAACCAGGTCATAGGATCGCTTTTCAGAAAAAAACATGAGGGATCTGATGGATCAAAAGGTATGGAAAAACTTACTTAAAAGTGAAGTTTTTCTGTATTTGTATTTACAGACACGTTATTACAGCACTATAATGGAATACCACAAAGACTGGGTCAGCTCTGTTCAGAGCCAAGGAAAGACGGGAGCAATCTGCAGCATTGATGCTTAGAGACTTTTCATGTACTCCCATTAGCCAAGATGCACAAACACCACTAACCATTCATAATTGCAGAATACATTTCCTCATTCTCGCCTTTTTTCACTGCAAAGCTGTTCTCTCACTGAAAAGGCAAAGATTTAAGATGCATTTTCATTCAGAGAAATACGCTTTCAGTAAAATATTGCTTCCTGTGATTTTTCAAATGCTTAAGAATAAAACACATGGCTAGAAAAGATATCAAGACACCCATCCACTTTTACCAGAGTAATTTCAAACTAAAAGACAACTTCAAGGAAAGGCATAGAGACAAGTATCTAAAGTTTAATTCCCAAATATGGCAAAAGTTTGTTATGTGAAATAAACACCTGCACATTTTTCACGTAATGTTTCCACGAGTGTTTACTGCACAAAGTAACAACGAAACCAAGCAACATCACAAAATAATACCAAAATTAATAGCATAATTTGTTTCATTATGATAAACAAATCCAGACTGCTGCATTACACAGTAGGCAAGGTTCTCCTGCTTCAAATACTACTTATGTTCTAGACGTCACCAGCAGAAGTAACAAGTCCAAAATGCTTCAGTGTACTTCAGTTTTCCATACGAGTCTGCATGCAAGCCATGGAGCACAAGGACGGAACAATCCTGGTTTCCTCAGAGACCAAACCAACCACACAACTACTCAAACAGAAAACAACTGCTGCTCATAATCATAAGACAGAAGTGCAGGAAGTCTTTGACGGTTTCATATTTACATGTTAACCATTAGAAGTCTGAGATCAAGCTCTCCTTAATGCACTGTCTAAGCTACACAGCAATGGCCCTCCATACTGACTATGTTCCCAGGATAGACATAACCAGTAATCAAGTACCATATATACATACAAGCACAATAAATCTCGTATTCACCATTGTGAGAGATGAGTAGTTCTGCCTCCAGCTTCCAAAGCCTACATTTGGACTTCACATCTTAGCTCCACATTAACCATGTATTATCAAACCAACTGGTTTAGTATCACATTTTTGTAGAGCTGTGCCCTCAGTTTGCCTGTCTTACAGCTGTTCAGTTGATACCAAAAAAGTACAATAGGCTCTGCCTGGGTGCTCTGCAGGACTCTGCATTTACTTTAATGAAAAAAAAACCCATGTTTCTGACTGAAGAAATAAATATTATCTGAAGACACCAGAACACTCCTAAGTAAATTATATCTAAAAATCCAAGTGGAAAATGCAATCACATTTCAAAGAAACAGGATATCTCAAGGTGGAAGGGACCCACAGTAATCATAGAAACACAGAACGGCTTAGGTTGGAAGGGACCCCAAGGATCATGCATCTCCACCCCCCCTGCCACATGCAGGGCCACCAACATTCACTACTAAACCAGGGTGCCCAGGGCCCCGTCCAATCTGGCCTTGAACATTTCCAGGGACAAGGCAGCCTCCTGGCTCCATACTGCCCTCCTCCGAGTTCTTAACCACAAAACGCCAATAGGAGGAATAAATCGCATATTAGTTCTCAAAACAAGTGATGGAAGATGAGCTAAAAGATTAAAGAGAAGTCGTGCCATATTTTTCCTCACATCTATAGCTTTGCATTTTACTTGCTATCATTATTATCAACTTGTCAAAGCCGGGGAAGAATATAACAGAACGATTCCTCCACTGTACCTTCTGGGAAGGCTGATATTTGCCCTAGCATATGAAGTTACTACACAGAATCGCGGAATCTCAGAATCCTTAGGACTGGAAACGACAAACGCATCTAGTCCAACCTGCCCGCACCATGCCCACTAACTACGTCCTTACTGCCACATCTACACGGTTCTCGGCCACTACCACCACCACAGACAGTGACATCGCCGCTCCGGGCAGCCTGCCCCAAAGCAGCAGAGCAGTAGCAGGGACAGCAGTCATAAATAACGTGTGCACACCCGTTGTCAGCCCGCAGCGCCGAGCTCCACACCCTCCCCGGTGCTCGGCACCGCTCCAAGGGCGCCCCCTGCCGGTCTCACCGCGCTGCGCCGCCCGCCTTGAGGATCCCCGCGCCTCCTGCCCGCCCGCCCACAGCCACGCCGGCTCCTCGCCACTACGAGGTTCACTTGGGGCTGGGGCGGCCGCAGGGAGGGCTGGCAGGAAATGCGGGGCCAAGCCGAGGAGAGAGGCTGAGGAGTGGGGATGGGCAGCCGCGGGCGGACCGCGCTAAGCAGTGACGGCCACCAACAGCTCCCTCACCTTGAGCATGGTGCCGCCCGGCTACTGCTACACCCGCCAGTCGCAGTTATGACGTAAAACAGCGCGTCGTCGCGTTGTGATGACGTCGATCAGCGCGCCGCTACAACCACCAGTGAGCGACCGTTGGGGGCTTACGTCACGGCCTGCGCACGGCTCTGTCCCAAGGCGCATGCGCAGATCCGCAGCCACCACGTCGTGGGCAGGGCAGCGGGTAGCGCTTGCGCAGCGGCTGGAGAGGGGCTAGGAGAAGGAAGGCGGGCGTGGCTGAGAAATGGCGCCTTTAGTGGTTGTCGCCACTGCGTGCCTCAAAGACAGTCATCCAGACTTATTCAGCCCATTACGCCTACACTATTGGGTTTGTTATTCAGCTGTAACTGAAATAACAAATGCTAAATTCCTTTCAATTAAGATAAACCAAAACAATGCTACGGTCTGATTTAAATAATGGGAAATCTCTTCCCATGTTATCGGTTAATTAGCTGTGTTCTTTGCTTCTAAAGATTCGCTGGTCAGGAGTTTCCACTTTTTACCGCTTTTAAGATTTCTCACACCACTCAAGGCCAAGGCAGCAATAGCGGGCAAAGGAAAATGAGTCAATCAAATGAGATGATTTAGTTCATGTGTCACCATTTTCTGATCAATTACTAGCATCTCAGTACTTGTTATTTTTAACACTTTGGTAGATACTTATTCTCCTGCTTAATCATGCTCACATAGTAACATAATTCAAATGCAAACAAGCTTCATGTTTTCACAGAATACTGTTAATTTTTAGCTAGCAATGGAAAACCCTCTTTAATAAGAAAGATGTTTTAGAGCATTTGTCTGTATTCTTTGTCATGTACAGAATAATTGTCATGTACAGAAAATGCAAGTGCAAACAGCTGTGCCATACATTTACTATTGCAGTTCTGTTGTGAAGCCGTGCTGCCATGACTTGGTGTGAAGGGGAGACTGGCTGCTTAACTTCTAAGATCCGAGAGGAACCTTTGCTGCCCAGGCATGGTGTGAACGTGAGCACCACCAGAGGGTGTTATGAGAACCTGTGTTCTGCTTTGAAATGAGCTCTATGATCAATCCAGTCCTTTTTCCTGGGACTGGGAGAGAAGCCATCGTGAAGTGGGGATTGGCCTCTTCTCCAGGTAACTACTGATAGAATTAGAGGTAATGGATTTAAGTTATGCCAGGAGAGTTGCAGCTTGGATATTAGGAAACAGTTAGAAAGAGTGGTGAAGCATTGGATTAGGCTGTCCAGCGAGGTGGTGGAGTCCCTGGAGGTGTTCAAGAAACGTGTAGATGTGGCACTGAGGGACAGGTTTAATAGGCACGGTGGGGATGTGTCGAGAGCTGGACTAGGTGATCTTAGAGGTCTTTTCCAACCGTATTGATTCTATGATTCTACACTTCTAATTTAGACACACTAATAAGAAATTGGAGAATACTGATAAATAATATTATTTTTTTCAAGTCCAAAAATTACAGTAATTTAAAATATTTAGTATTGCTTTTAGAACATGAAGATAATCAGTCCTGCAGAAAATATAAAAAAGAATTAATACCTAGAAGATAAAGCACCTAAAGAACACAGTAGTAAATGTTAATCAGGAAGCATTTTATGGAAAGACAGATGAGCCATGTACCTCTCACAGTCGTAAAATATTCTTTGTGATTACGGTTTTCTTTGTTCCCTCCTAGAGAAGGTTCCTATATTTGTTTATTGCAGTCTATTTATAGACTTAATGGAACCAGGTGAAGCAAGAATAAATATTTTCCTGATGAATGGGGATGTTTAAACCTCATATAATACAACCGGACAACGCTTCTCAATGTGCTGATTGTAAAAATAGCACAATCCTTATTTGCTGATAGATTCAACTGTTGTCAGGAGCCATTGTCAGAGGTGAAGGAAGAAGACTGCAGGTTGTATCTGCCTTTTTTTTTTAAAGCTTTATCATATTTTTCTGTTGTATTTTACAAGCAGTGGGGGATGGTTACAAGTTAATGAGATATGGGAAGTATTTCAAACAAGTGGTACGAGTTTCAGTGTCAAAACTAATAACAGGTATTGATTACAGATAACAGGTATTGCTGCAGTGAAAGATGACATGCATGTAAGAAATGTTTTTACATCTACATTACAGGTTTGGTTATAAACATCCCCTCTCTAACAAGACTTGTACCTAAAATGCTAGTTGATGTTTAGTTGCATCTGAATGACCTCTGATTAAAGAATACTAATGGGCCTCTTTCACCGTTGAATTTACTCGTGAAGTCAGCAATACACGTGGGAAATAAGCCATCAGAGTATGGCAAACATTTCTGGAAAAGTGGTTTCCAGTATTCTTTGGCAGGTTTGTGAGCGTGCAGAGTGAATGGGCAGTTTGCAGAGCAGGCACGTTTTTTAAATGTATTTTATTCATCAGCTGTATATATGTTACAAATACATATTTTTGTGATTGACTTATATGCAGTGACTACACAGCAATTATTGATACATAAATACATAAAGAAGAGTTGTTTTACAAAAACTTATGATGCACATGAATTTATCAGCTCTAGTATTGAATGCACTTTTTGTTTCACGTGGAAGTTTATCTATTAAGTGACTGATATGACTGATTGACAAGAATGGGAAAACCTTTATAGAGAAGACCAATAAAAAATGCATTCGTTTTCATGTATGTACACTGTTCTTTGCATTGTATCAGTAATCTGGATGAAACCCCTGCATATTTTCACGGCAGAAATAACTGCCAGAGAAGGGTGTCCGCAAAATTTCTCCAGTGATAACATGTGACATAATGGATTGTGCACAGTCCAAACCTCTGTCAGACAGGCTTCCAAAGAAACTGAAGTTTCTGCAGCAAAGGCCACAGAATAAAGGTCTTTGACTCGATCAGCTCACGGCTGTTTCTAGTGTTAGGTAAGAACCTATACCAAGCTAGAGTTTAATTTCACATTTCACCTTTCCCTGTCCTTGGTAAATAGCTTTTCTAAATACTTGTGAAATAAATGTTTTGTTTAGAAAGCTACAGCTCAGAGAATATTGAAGATGTTGATACAGCTCATAAACTGTGCCAGTCCAGGCAGAAATATAATTTAAGAAACTCATCTTTTGCCTTCCAGTCTGATCCTTTTTAATGCCATATTAGATTGTTATTTACAGCTGGTTTGTTTTTCAGTAAGATAGGAACAATTCTTTACCAGCAGCACAACAGGTATTTTTTTGGCATGCATTAAGAGGTACGGTAGAAAAAAATGGATTTGTTGCACATTCTTGTTAAAATCTGAGCTTGTAACATCTACTTATTAAATATCAGTGCAATTAGCTAGTGACACTGATCAATGGAAAACATTACGAACTGAATAGCTAGCTTATTTTGGTGTTCTCCTACATGATAAATCTTTTAGAATTTTTTATAACAAATTTTTCCATGCACCTTTTCTTCTCTAAAATGAAATTTCTAATGCCACGGCTTGTCACTACTGTTTTGCCAGCCTGTTTAAAACTAATTCCTAAAATCTTTGCAAAGCACTCTGCTTTTCTGCCTCCTACCACACTTTTATATGTTTTAACTTAAAGGAATACTGTTCGGCACATCTCTTTTAAGTTACTTTCAAAGTATGTTGTTAAATATACAACTGTAAGGGCTCCTGAACTGAAAGTGGCTGTATGTTTTGGTGGGCTTCCTAAATATTCTGCACAAAACACAGATGTGACACATCAAGTATACAGCTTTGCCACACAGGTCTCCAAAACATACAGTTGGTTTTTTACGTTCATGTGAATTTTAGCACGGTTGTTCCAAACAGCCAATTCAACAACTCTCTTTCACAGGGTGCAGTGAAAGTAGTACAGTTTGGATACTCATAAGCAACCTATTTAATTCTGTATTTCTCATTCCCCAGTTTGAAAAACAAAACAAGACAAAAAAATGTTTATTATTTCTGTGTTTAATAATATTTTTTTCTTTAATCTGGAGTTAAGCTTACCTTGAGCTTTTGCTTCTCATTCTTAAACGTATTTTTTTAAAGCATTCTGAATGTAATGCTTCTCAGAGTTGCTGTTTTGGAATCTACAAGGTTTGTAGCAATATGTTGAATAACTAAACTGAAAACTAAGGACAGATGCCATTGCAGATTTCTTCATGCTTTCCCACTGACCTACCTTTAACTGCATCGGAGGCACTTCTGCATTTTAGCACACGCTGTCATCAACTTTGTCACGTTCTAAGAGCTTCCAAAACATACTTGGTGCTGTCTAAATCCTGAGAGGTGACAGGTAAAACAGACAAACGTATCCTGCAAAAAAAGTGTAGTTCAATTGAGTTGAGTTTCACTGTTGATAGCATCACGGTTAAACACTGCAGTGTTCCTTCCATAATCCAAATCTTTGACTTCTTACCGCAGCTCGAGTTCTACATTTTGAATTACACCATCCCAGCAATGATGAACAATTCTTCTGCTAACAAGTTGCTGAAACTACCAGCAGAGATGTCAGCTAAAAGATGCACAGTTGTAGCACTACTAGTAGCAGTGAGAACATAAACCAACAGACATTTTTTGATGCTTCTTAGCACTCATCACAACAAAATCCAACTCTTCAAAATTTAATTGCATCTCAAATTTCTATTGAGCTGATTACATTTAGGATATTAACTGCAGCTAGAATGTAAAATGTCATGCAGCAGTTACGAATCTCTAAGATTTTAACTGCACTCTTTTCATCTTCATAAAAAAGTTATTTTCACAGTACTGATGAATTTTTTAGCAGGAAAATGTATTTATTTATCTTCGTATTTATTGGCAAATGAGGTATTACCTTCAGTGTCTATGTATATAAACACAAAATGTAGCACTTTATTTTCCCAAATACCAATTGTGTTGTAATGCTTCTAACAGTAGCCACACACACTTCTAACAGTGAGAATCCATGGGACTTACCCATTCGCACCTACAAAGGAAACTGCTGGAGAAGGGAACCACTACATGCTGTGCTGCATCTTGCATGGTACAGGTTAGCTGCAAATATGAAAATATGGCTTCTCACACCTGTTTAACAAGTTTACCAGAAGAGGCAGATTAAT